GGGAAGTCAGAATTTCAACTGGAGAAAGTTCAACTGGATGCCCAACTAGGAAAGTCAGAAGAACCTCAACAACCACAACCTCAAAATCCAAGATGGCTGCTCCACACGTCAAGTTTAAGTAATTGTAGTAAAATTAAAATTGTAGTAATATTCTGTTTATTAGCACTTGTCTTTTGTTTTTCATTAAATCAGCTGTACACATATTACTGGCCCAGATCTGTCTGTGGACATCTTTGTATGAGCAAAATACAGCGTAATGCAAGGTATTGCTAACAATGGCTAATGGCTAACCTGGCTGGGGCATGTGTCACATCTATATATATATGTATGTATGTGACAGCTAAAGACAGACAGGAAAGGGGGGCAGAGAGAGGGATAACCATCGTCAAATGTGGTTGTTTTTTCAACATAGAGAGCCTAGCACATACCATATCTAAGTTCAGGAAAGGAGGAAGTTGACCGAGGTTCTGACCGAGGCTTGCTCAGCTGTTATTGGAGCACAGAGCAAAAAGGGGACTTAAGAAGGGTAATTTAAACAGGGATTTAGAAGATGACTCTGTGCTAATAATGAATCACCTGGGGCTAACTACAGTACAATAGCAGCCAAATGGTGCAAATCACATCCTCAGAGGATACATCTGGAGTTATTAGAGCCAGGCCAACATTAGTTAATTGCAGATATATGGGTCTATATGGGTCTGGGTTTGAATGTATTTATTGAATGTGTGAAATGTGTGTTTGAAGTCAAATCATATTTGATTAGAGGGGTATTACCTTGAAAAAGCCCCAGATGCCTCCACCAGTGTTGGTGTCTCCAGACACTCTGGGATCTTCCTGCTCCTCTGGGAAAGTGATGGGAGATCCAGTATCTAATCCTCCTGACATGGCTGGCTGCTGAACCAGGGGGTTTGACACAACACCTGGAAGATGGGACAATTTTTAAAACACAACTATAAGGAAAAACACGTGACAAATGTCATTGTACCAACGTTCAACTTAAGGGTGTTAAGAGTATTTGTACTAAAATTGTAGCAACTGGCCAGGAGGTGGGGCTATAACAACAAACAGTTTTGGCATGTAACTTTGGATTCGCAAGACTCAATTCTATTCTAGACGTATCTGTGCATATAAGCCACACCCACTTGGCCTTGATAGATTTTCTGCCATTTTGAGTTTTGTCCAAATCTGTTTTCTCACTACTCTTCCTACAAATTTTAAGCAATCAAAATTGGTTACATAGCATATCTGGACCAATCCAGTCAAAACATGGTCCACATAAACAAACACAGTGGAGTATATAATATGTTTATATATTAGTATAGTACATATAGTATGTATGTCAATAGAATGTTAAAATCTGGAAAATGTAAATAGACCCTGCAATTGTCTTTTAAACCTGCACTAACGAATAAAGAATTATTTATTATAACGACCTGTGTCTTTAAGTTCAGTTTTAGATTAACACCCATAAATCAAAATTGGCTTAAAGGACCAGTGCGTAGGAGTGGAATCTAGCAGTGTAGTTGCAGATAGCCACTCCCTCCTAGGACTCACCCTGCGTTTCTGACAATCCCCCCCCAATTTGGATTTGGTTGCAAATCTTTCCATGTCATCACACAGTCATCTTTTATATGTACATGCATTTGCCAGGTTGTAAATGATCTCTTCATTTCATCACAGTGACACAGGAATAACATCACACATCAAAAACACAAGAGGGCACCAAGGTACTGGTGCCCTCTTGTGCATCAGATTTCATGTCATATATTCAAACTTCATAATACTGTCCTGAACAGGGTGCCATAATATGTGTATCTATCACATATGTGGTTTGGAATAGTGAGTTCCACCTGTTGACAATGTTCATATACATACATAGTTGTTAAAGAAAATCATGGCTGTTACCTGGCATGGCGGTAGGACTGGAGAATGTTGGCATCAGTGGCGTCTGTGGCGTTCGCCCAGCGTGACCCCGCGTGATGTCATATCCGGCACTCATGGAGAAGCTGGATACGGGTGGACCTACAGGAGGGGCGACAGTGCTAGACGCGAGCGCCCGGGGGGGGCGGTGGGTGTCGTATGGGGGAAGGCAAGAGGAGGCAGAGTGGGGGAGGTGGAAGGAGGGAAGGGGGAGCTGCTGGTGAAGGGGGAGGCAAGTGTGGAGGCAGGAGGAAACTGGGAGGAGAGGGAGGGGGCTGCAGCCAAAGGGCTGCTGAAAGCAGGGAGGGAGGGAAGAGGGGGGAGGGAGGTGGAGACTGAGGGGTTACCAATGGAGACGGAGCTGGTGCCTGGGAGGGACAGAGGGCTGGACAGACCTGAAACACAAAGAACAACTTAGGGATACTAAAGACTGAAGACTAAAGAGGACTGGAGGTTCACTGGTTTGCTCACATAAGAACATTTCACAGGTCATGTCTTACCTATGGTCATTGGTAAACCAGTCAGAGGAGGCGTAGGGCTGGCAGGAGGCGTAGTCTCAATCCCACTCTCTTCCATCATCTTCTCAGCCTTATATCTTAACTTCAGCCCACAATATAGCTGCAATAAGAGGTTGTGATCAGTCAGGGTGTGTTTAGCTTATCAGATGACTGGTAGGCAGCCCAAAGTGCAACTTTATCCATCTACAGTACAGAATTTAAAATGTGCACATTTGCTTTTAAATATGCAACACCCCAAAGCAAAGCAGTCACCACTGTCAGCTCTCATTTTTCAAATAGGAACAGAAATTGGATCACAAGTGTAGCAAACTAAAATGATCATGGGTGTGGAAGAGTCTAGTTTGATTAACATTTTACAACTTGTGGGTTTTGAGGAGTTTGGACAGCAATTAGACAGTGATAATAAGAGTGAGAGATAGGGACAAAGAGTGACAGTGTGAATGAGTGTTGATTGTGTTAACCTCGCGTGTGATAGCGGATGAGTAATTGCGGAACGCACCAATTTATCTGCAAATGTATCGGTCCATATTCACCTTGTTTGACGGACATGACGCATTATGATCTGCAAATAAGATGGCATTCAC